ATCTATGAACTGAAATCCTGAGCAGGTTTACTTAGAAGTAAATTCCAATGAGCTCCATCAAATTTACTGCTTGGTTACAGTTTCAGGATTGCATCATTAGTCCACCTGAAACCCCAAATAAGTTTCTCTTCATCTTCATTCAAGTTCACTGGGTTTAACTTCAGGTGAATAACATTTTGCTGCTGTTTAAAATATTTTGGGTTCCTTTCTTAATCTGACTGATGCAAAATGAAGGTTTGTTATTGTTTGTTATGTGCTGTTTTTGGAAGAAAAGAAAACACCTCACCTATGCTGCCTCTTAACTAGCAGCACCCTGTAGTTTAAATAAATACATAACTGATTTAAAAATGGAGGAAGGTAAGAAAAGGAAGGAGCAGATAAGATAATTTTGATCCTTAAATTGGGTAAAAACTCCCAGGATTTGGCATTTTATAGGCCCACCTCACTTCTCAATACAGATGATAAACGGTATTCTAAACTGTTAGCTAACTGATTAAAAGTGATTATAGGTAAAATTATTCATATGGATCAATCTGGCTTTATTCCAAACTGAAATATATCTATGCCAATCAGGAAATTATTAAATATTATACAAATTAGTAAAATTAATAAATTTTCATAAGATATATGTTCTTTAGATATATTTAAAGCCTTTGATTCTCTGGAAATACAATTTTTATTAAATTTAAATTTGGGGCAGGCTTTTGTAAGATGTTTGAACATATTTATGGACCAACTAAAGCTCAGATAAGACTTAACATTTATGATTCAGATCCCATTACGATTTTAAGAGGTACTAAACCGACTTGTCCTTTATCACCTTTACTATTCAACCTAGCTATAGAAGCGCTGGCAATAGATCCAGTAATCAGATTAATGGAATAAAACTGGGAGATAAGACGTATCTTTTAAATCTGTTTGCAGATGATATGATCTTCACTCCTCAAATGCTACTTATTCAGCTAGCTATATTAAGGAGGAGCTAGAGGAATTTACAGAGGTGTCAGGACTCTCAGTTAATTTTCATAAATCACATTTAATGTTTTTCATACACCCCCAAAAACTCAAAAGGAAATTTCCACAGTTCTAGGGATTCCAATAATATATAAATCTTTAAAATATTTAAGCATCACTATTACTAAAAATATTAATAAAATTTTTACAAATAATTATGGAATAAATTAAACAAAGAAATGAAAACTGGGCTTCAAAACATTTCAGTATTTTAGGGCAAATCGCAAGGGTAAAAATGAAAATTCTTGCACAGCTTAACTTTTTATTTCAATGCCTCCCAGTGGTAATTCCAGAACAGGCTTTAAGACATTGGCAAACAAACAAACAAACAAACAAATAAATGGCTTCTGCTTTCATGCACACAATCTGAGAGTAAATAAAAGGATTTTATATAGACCTCAGAAACAGGGAGGCTGGTGTATGCCCAATTTTTTAATATGTGGCACAGTTAGGCTGTATGATTCCATTTATTATTGAAGACTCTTCTAAACAATTGATTTAAATTGAAACTATGTTAGAGCCAGTTAAGTTTATAAATCAATTTTTTTTCACCCAAAATATTTTTCTAGAATAAAATAGATTGAAAATGTTTTTACTAAAACAGCACTTCAAATTTGGAAGAGTAAATACACAGCTTTGATAAAGGATACTTCCCTTTTAACTCCTCTAATAACCTATATTGACCAGGATAATTATTATGGTTTGGGTAAAATGAAATCTTTGAAAGAATATAATCTTTGTGTAGCCTAAAAGATTTTTATGGCAATAGTGAACCTTTCAATAAAGATCAGATTGAGCAACGAATACCATGGCTCTTTTGGTATCAACTCAAATCTCTTTCAGGTAACAGAAATATTAGAGCTTCAGCAACATGGTCCTGTACCAACTTCAGGAATTTAATACTTTGTTATTTAGAACAACCAAAAGAAACAATTTCAGAAATGTATAGGTTATTACTGCAGTCAGAAATAGGAGATCCACCATATCGTTTAAAGGAATCTTGGGATACTAATCTTGGTAATCCCATTCAGGAGATAAATTGGCAGAAGTTATGAAACCGGGCAGATTTACTTCAATGCAAGAAATGCAGTGGAAGATTATACATCATTGGTGCTTCAGTCCTGTCAGATTGGCACAAATATATCAAAATTATTCTTCCAAATATTGGAGAGGCTGTCAAAAAAAAGGGGTCATTCTTTCATTTGTGGTGGTCTTGTGATAAAGTTATATCCTTTTGGCAAAAAATCTTTGGGGAGATAAGTGCTATCACTAATCAAAGAATTGAAAGTTCCCCAGAGCTAGGCTTACTACATTTATTTACAGGGCC